AGAGTGCTGTGACGTCATAGCTCACAGGAACCTCAAACTTCTGGGCTTAAGTGATTCTCTTGCTTCAGCCTCCCAAGTAGCTGGAATGACAGGCACCCGCCACAACTCCCAGCTATTTTTCTTTTTTGTTGCAGTTGTCATTGTTCAGTAGGCCCAGGCCAGGTTGGAACCCACCAGCCCTGGTGTATGTGGCCAGCACCCTAACCACTAAGCTATAGGTGCCGAGCCATAGATCCTAACTTTTGAGGTAAATTTAATGGTCTAAAGCAACAGTTCTCAGCCTGGGGGTCACGACCCCTTTGTAACAATGAAAATACATCCTGAGTATCAGATATTTACATTATGATTCCTAACAGTAGCAAAATTACGGTTATGAAGTAGCAATGAAAATAATTTTATGGTTGGGGGTCACCACAACATGAGGAACTTACATTAAAGGGTCATGGCATTAGGAAGTTTGAGAACCACTGGTCATTTGAAGCCAAGTCTGTTGAAATAAGACAGATGGATGTAAGTTGAGTATTTAGTGAAAGTCCTAATTTAAACTGGGTTGATGTATCTTGCCTGGCTAATACTGTACTGAAGAGTACCAGACATTCGAAATGGTGATGATTTTGGAATATTCATTAAGAAACAGATGTGGTAAATTTGACCTAGCACTAGGATTTATCTTTGGTTTAAGTGGGTCAACATGAAAGCTAACCTTAGGTCTGTAAAATGAGTTGGGGACTCAGATGTAAAAATTTTAATAGGTTTTAAAATTCTGTACAAATGTAAGGTGATAATGGTACAAATAGAGTGTAAAACCCCTAAGTTGAGTATTTTAGAGGAATGACTGATAAGTCCTTTAAATTTTAGTGTACTTTTTCTTTATTAGGGTACCTTTTTTTGTGGATGGTAAAGCTACTAGTATAAAATACCTCTTGGGCAGCTCTAGGCTGTTGCATGAAATTTATTTACTTATTTAGCATTTAAAAATATGTGTTTTATTTATTTTTTTTTAGAAACAGAGCCTTACTTCATCCCCCTCAGTAGAGTGCTGTGGCGTCACAGCTCACAGCAACCTCCAGCTCTTGGGCTTAGGCAATTCTCTTGCCTGCCACAATGCCCGGCTATTTTTTGTTGCAGTTTGGCTGGGGCCGGGTTTGAACCCACCTCCCTC